TGTTCAGTAGGGACAGGTGCCCCTTTCCACCAGCATTCATCACAGATATTGCCCAAGTAAGAGATGTAGCATAGGACCTTGGAACAGTAGCTGTTGTTTAGTGAATTGCATGTGGAACTAGGAATTGAGATCAGAATTCTATTTCTGGCTCTCTGTAACCTTGGGGGAGTCACTTAATCTTCTCTGTGTGTCCATTTCCCCACTTGTACAATGGAAGGAATAATACTTCCCTCCCTAAGCTTTGTAAAGTACTCTGAGATCTCTACATTAAGGGCATTATAGAAGTGCAGAGTATGTCTACATATTTATGCACTGGGGAGGAAAGGTCAGATCTGCTTTTAGTATAAACAAAAGTAGTCTACTTAAATACAGAATTGGATAATGAAAGTTACTATCTCCAGATTACGGACAGAAACTTTCCAGTCTCTCTTCTCTAATGCTTTCATGCTTTGATATTTGTAGGGGTAGGGTTGCCAATTTTGGTTGAACGTATTCCTGGAGGTTTCATCAAATGACAGTGTTTAATTAAAAGATTAATCTTTAATTTCTGAAGACTCCGTACAATCCAGGAGGGTTGGCAACCCTATACCGGAGTCTTGTTATGCAGAAAATCTGTTGGACTGGTTTTTTTTTTAATAAGTCAGCAAGGTGATCTGACACACCCTCAAATTTCATGAAGTCATGATACTACTCAGTACACCAGTCTCTCTAGCTCCAGATCTGTGTGCAGGCAGTCCTCTTTTCTGTGTGAAGTGTTAACATGGGACATTTTGCTGAACTTACTCTGGGTAGTCTTGCATCCAGTGTTCACCATTACTTTGCCATCAATCCTAGTTTTAACATCCTGGTAATATTAAAGGGGCAGGGGGAAAATATAGGTTTTATTTCAAGCCACAGAGGAGGACTTGGATATATCCGTTCAGCACTGAGGAAGAATGATGTTGATGCAGGGAAACACCAGTGCATTCATCTTCATCTATAGGATAAGACTGTTGCGAGAGAATTGGACTGAACAGCTTTGAACTCTGGGATCCTCTAAAAGCTCCTCTGTACCTCTCTTGAGATGTACCTCTTCCACAGAGCCATAGTGTAATTCAGGTAGGCCCCACTCCAGCAAAGCACATGAGTAGACCCTTTGGCGTCAATTGGACTACTTGCTTAAGGTTAAGCATATGCTGAGTCATGGCCCTAAAGTCCTTCCTGAGCTTGCCTCTTGTGAGTGTTTATAAGTCACCAATTGCTGCAATATCAGAGTACCACAGTTCTTGGAAAACCACAGTTATACACTAGTTTAATTAGGCCTCAGATTTCTCTGCTTTCCTGCTTCGCTACCCACAGTATAGTCATGTCATCTCTTCTGTGTCATGAGGCACTGATTGGCTGTTGCCTGGGATGTAACAGGACAGTTTCTTCTAGCACTGGGAGAAGGGTGCATTCTTAACCAGAGCACTCTTCTCCATGCTTTGTTTCTAGAATGTGACTTTTAGGCCAACACAGAGTGCTTTTGACTCTGCTCCCAGTGAGGTCAATTAAAGTTTTTTTCATTGACTTCAATGAGAGCAGGGTAAGGCCAGCTCAGAGTGCTTTTGAGAATCCCACCCCTAACACTCCAGGAACAAATTGATTAAGAATTGCAGTATCAGCAGTACTTGTGCCTGCCTCTGAAGATCTAGGCAATGAAAAATGATGGCCTTTCCAGAATTCATGTAATGTTATACTAATAAGTTAGTGTTGCACTTATCAGCAGACAAAGCATTTTCTCTCCTGATGACTTGCAGATACTAAATGGCTGCAGCTGATTCTTGTATCATTCCTTAAATAGCTGTTAGAATGCATAGAAAACCAAACTTGTGTTATGCTGCTAAAAATAAAAGTAATATCTTAACAGAGAGAAAAAAGGCCTTGCTAACTGATCTGACTCAAATGTTTGGGGCCATTAGATACTGACATCAAATTTCTCTTTCCATCTTCCACCCTTTTCTGTAGCAAACTCAAGTCAAGAACGAGGATAAGTGGTAGAGAAATATAGTCCCATTCTCCAGACAAGGCACGATGGAGTCCTGCATCCCACCTTCTACTTGGCATTCAGCCCTTAGATCTCCATCAGATCTCACTTGTAAACCGTTTGTGTGGTGGGTTTTTTTTGTGTGTGTGTTTTTTTTGGGACAACTTAGCTTCAGGTGCGACATTAGATGCTATGTGTGTGATTTATTTATTTTTAATTTTGCAAATGTTTAACACGTGCACACTGCATCAGATAAATAGCCTTGGAAACTGACTTCTTGTACAGCGGGGGAAAAGTACAGTGCAGGCAGTGTCAAGAACAGCTTCCTAGCCTGGTCTTGAACCCTGTTCTGTAGGGACCTTCTCTAGAGACAGAATGGCATTTGAGTTTTCCTTCGGTCTGAATTCCCCGTGGAGGTGCTAGTTAGGATGTGGATGGTTGTCACACTGGTGATCTCAGTCTAGATCCCAATGATCACACAGTGACAACTTTTAGCCACTGCGTACATGGTTGGGACTCAAACTGGTGCACTAGAGATCTCACCAGTAACCTCATGAGCCACCCTACTGGCCTGTCTGGCACTGATATGGAAAGCACAGTTCAGAGCAGGCTGCTAGCTGAAGAAAAATCCGAGTAAAGGAGTGAGCAGAAGATCTGTTTTTAAATATGTTCTCCATCTCCCCAAGTTTAAAGGGCTGGATACAATGAATGAATGAATAGAAAGCACTTGCTCTAGAAAGCAGTGAATGCAGATATGGGACTAATGCTTTTCTACCTTTTTTTGTTTGTTTGTTTTTGTTTATACATGTTTCTATAAATTAGCTTTCTAGTTTCTGGTTTTGTGTACTCGGGTGTGTAATGGAAAAGATTGGATGGGCTTTTTTTAGTTACCTTTGACTCAATCAAACTGGTAAGGGGTGTAATTTTTTTTTACATATGCCCTGTGCCAGTCTAAACATCCGTGTTTGGGGATTTACCCCAAAAGAGGGAAGTGTTGCTGATGCTTCTGACCTCCTTCTGGGTTTTCTGCTGGAGAAGGAGCATGAAGTTGCACTCAGATTTCCCCTGCAGAGGCTGCTGGGGGGCGCACTAAATCGGTGTATTCCCTTGCTGCCCTGTCCATGTCTCACTCTTGCTAGTCCTGCCAACTATTCATTGGTCCCCAGGTGGAACTGCAGCTTTCCACTCCTGTAACTTTGCCACCACCTTGCCCACATTCTCAAAATAATTCCTACCAGCACAAAAGCTAGTACACTGTATAGCCCTGGGATGAATCTGGGCAAGAGGACCTAAAGCTGTCCTGCCCTATGTGTTGCTGAATTTGCATGTCAGAATTAGCCTTGAGCCAGTCTGAGTGTAAATTCAGTGTCTTGCTGGTATATAGAGTGCATGATTGCAGGCTCATTAACATAATTGATGCTTATAAGGAACTGATCCTTGGCTTTTCTGTGTAAAGAGTTCAAACCAAGCTTGACTCTTCTCTCCTCCCCCCCCCCCCATAGAATATTTATACATTGCAGCAAGCCTAACTACTGCTGGTTAGTGTTTTTCCATATCTATTGCGGACTACATGAAGAAGTTGTTCTCTTTCTAGCATAAGGGGCTGTTCCACAATCTCTTAGTGTCACCCTGGAAAAGTTGATTCGCAGAGCACTAGATGGCTCGGCAGTAAGAGGCTGATTCTCTGCTATGGCGATCAAGGCCTCTGTGTCCGTGTGTGGTACTGGTAGTACATAGATATGGGGTACTTAATGCTTTTTTTTTATTTAATTTATTTAAAGAAACAACTTTTTAGAACCAGGCCCAGTAACTATTAAATCCTTGGGGGGGGGGGGGGTTGTGGTTGTGTCCTTGCTGAATACCAACACCGCATTCTTTTGTGTGCAGGGTCTTTTTAGAAATAATATTATGTGCCAGGATAAAAAAATTGGCAGCTATGATAATTCTACCTTGGTATTCTTCCTCTTTTAAAAAAAAAATATATATAGTCCCATCTTTAAATGTAGTTTAAAACTCAATCTTTAAAATGGCTTCCTCTTTCTTTATACCCTGAGTGGGAGAGAAGCTCAAAATTAGGCTGTTCCAGCAAATATAGCTCTCCCTATGGAACTTTTGTTACAACTGGTTTAAAAAGAGAGAGAGCCCTGCTGACAAAGCTAGGCTACTGGTGGTAGATATGTGTGGCGTCTACTGGTCAGTAGTACAGAGAGGAAATGAAGCAGAGGTTTCTGGTCCTTTAGCAAAGGAGATGAGAGTTCATAGGGGTATCTGATGTGTCTAGAGAGGAAGTGTATGTTCGATGGTAGGTAAGTAGGTATTGTGAGGGGGGAATATCCAGGGGAAGATGGTCTTAAGGGAGGCGATAATGGATCTCTCCATGAGTAGGGGGTGTCTCTGAGAGAATGGCCTTCCTCACAACCAGGGGTGCTGGACCAATTTTTATAGTGGGGGTGCTGAGAGCCATTGAACCAAACTGTAAACCCTGTAAATGAAGAGAACCACTTCAAGCCAAGAGGTGTGACAGCACACCTAGTTCCAGCACCTGTGCTTACAACCCTGTTTCAATGAGGGCAGCAGGCTGCTAATATACTTTTTGTCCAGCACATAGATACAAGCTCTTCTGTAGCAAATAGTCAAGCATATCACTCTTTGTACACCTGGAAGGGATATAGCAACAAGGCTTAAAAGCTTTATGCGCAGACTGAAAAATCTGAATTGGTCCAGAGTTCCTGCTAGAGACCAGGCTACTGCCTTCCCCTTGCATAGCCATTGCTCAAGGGGCCTTTGCAAAATCACAGCGCAATCATGGAAGCTGTCTCTTTGCTGTTTATTGCTACAATATACAACCTTTTTGTTCTTTACCCACTGCAGCCAGCCAAATGGCACTTTTCAAAGATGGCATTACTTGTTTCAATATTGTGCACACAAAGAAAGTTGTTCTTTCTCTTGAAGAAGAGTCTTTCAAAACCATTTTTTTTCCTCATTTTTGTTTCAGGAGAACAAACTGTTTTGGAGACCCCTGAAGCAAGAAGTTCAAGGCATTGGTGGTAAGTATCAGGTTCATAACTGACCCTCTTACAGAAGCAAGTGGTATCATCACTAATAAAACAACCAAATCCCTTCCTGTTGGGCAAAACTCTCTCTGCCTTCTTCCTTGTTTGAATGTTAAAAAGGTATTGGCTGTGCCAGAACAGTGTTCTCACTGGGTGTGCTTTGTAAACACACATATCAACTTAAATTCTGTGGACCCATAATCTCGTGTCTGTACATAGACGCCAACTGTTTTATCGATCTTATGTATACCTGTATGTGCCTCAGAGGAAGTCATAAAAACCTCAAAAATAAATTTACTATACCAAAACTGTCATGATATTATGGATTGGTATTTCAGGACTCAGGAGAGGATTAATGGTGACTATTTAAAACCGCTTAAAGGCTTGGAGTGTTAGAATCCGCTTCAGGGAGATGGATTAGTGGACTGAAGGCAGGTTTTCATCAGTGGTGCATGATCAATAAAATTTAGCATAAAATTTTAGAATCATTACATGGTTCCACTGTCTTGTGGCTCTCCAGTTTATTAAATGAATATCACCTCTAGATACATAGCATGTCTGTTTATATTATAGTGGCACCGAGGGACCCTGATCAGGATTGGGCCCCATTGTGCTTAAGTGCTGTACAAACATGGAAGTAATCGTAAAAATATTAAGAAAAAGCTTGGACACTTTCAAAGACTTAAGCCAGATACTTTTTCTAGTTGCCGAACGTACAGCTATGAAGGCATGGAAAAATCCCAATTGTGCCCTCATACTTTCTCGAAGTCCAGCCAACTGTTTAACTTCATATACACCTCTACCTCGATATAACGTGACCCGATATAACACGAATTCGGATATAACGCGGTAAAGCAGCGCTCCGGGAGTGCAGGGCTGCGCACTCCGGTGGATCAAAGCAAGTTCAATATAATGCAGTTTCACCTATATCGCGGTAAGATCTTTTTGGCTCCTGAGGACCGCATTATAACAAGGTAGAGGTGTATATGCTTAGACTAGCTTATAAAGTATGGAGTCCCTTTTTGGATTTTGCCTTCTAACACCGGAGACATTCATTTTGTATACATGCAGGCGGCACTAGCTTACAAGTGAGAAGAACTCTCAAGAGTTCTCTTCCATAACATAGTTGAGCTTGATTGCTCCTTCCACATGGGAGGGGCCAAAGGGGGAGCATTTCTGCTAGCTTTTGCTTTCCCTTGTGGAGTTTCTTCCAGATTGCTCCATTGGAGGAGAAGTTTGTAGGGCTGCTCAGTGCTGTGCTTCTCATAACACCTACATTTGGTAGCCCCCAGCAGGACTGCAGCTTCTCCTTCAGGCCACTGGGGTAAGGAACTATAAACAGAAAATCTGTCAGTCTTCCCCTGCTCTCATTGCTGGCAGGGCTGTCCTTAACCCATATGCAAAGTACACAGCTGTGCAGGGCACCAGGAAATTTTCCTGGTGCCCTGCACAGCTGCGTACTGCTCCAGCCCCAGCACTGCCCCCTCCCCAGGGCCTCTGCCCCAGCCCCGCCCCCACTCCCCTGAGGACTGCAGCATGGCCCGGCCTGCACTTACTGGCGGCGGGAAGTGCAGACCCTGCCCCAGCCGTGCTGCCGGTGAGTGCTGGGGGGGTGGTTCCCCCCCCTACCTCCAAGCCAGCCCCCTCCTCCCCCCCCCCCCCGCAGGCCTGCCAGAGGCCGGGGACAGCCCCTCCGCTCTGCCTCCTGCAGAGGCCTGCGCCCCCCCCCCCCCCTTGGGGGGGGTAGGGGTGGGCTGCGTAGGGCCCCAGAATAGCTAGGGACGGCCCTGATTGCTGGGGCCCACTCTGCCCTGCAAAGTTTGGTGGGCGTAAGTGCCTTGTGTCATCCTAGTTGTTGTGCATGTATTTACACCAAAATTTGTCTCCTGTCAATGTAAGCACCTTGTTACAGCAACACAATAACTGTGTGTCCACCTTTGTTGGATGTAAATAGGGGGAACCACATGAAAAATAAGGGACAACACTTTATTTTAAACAACATTTTAGAGAAATATCCTTTCCCTTAGCATATTGTGTATTTTTTCCTTGAGTGTTCATTTCTGTTGCCCTCAAGTATACAATGCAGTTATCACAAGCTGCAATTTTAAGGTTTAAAATGGTAATTATCAGTTTGAATACATTTCAATACATCTGTTTTAAAATCAATTAACCGGGTACATGTGCAATTGAAATGAAAGTTAATTTGAAGCTTAACATTGCAGAAACCAACTAAATACTGATTCTGTTAATCTGTCCAGATCTGTTTACGGGAGGAAAATAATCTTTTCACTGCTACATTAAAGATAGGAATGGATGTAATAAATTCCACAAGTTTTAAGAAATTGGGATCAGGAGGAGCTGGCTGTCATGTTTTAAAGCTGACCTTTTCCCCTGCACACAGTACTCTCTGAACCTTCTTTGCAGTAAAACATCTTTGTTCATATGTGGTAAGCATTTGTTGTATACTTAGAATTCTGGAAAGGGAAAGGTTCATTAATGGCTTTCTTAGTTCTTCCTAGCATCTCCTTACCTGTGTTACGAGTGCCTGTTAAAACATGATCAATATTCAGCAAAGTCTCAAAGAAGAAGCCATATCCATGATTTTTATTTCAGATGTGCAATTCATTGCAGTCTTAGGACAACACAAAAGGAGAACCTTTTTTTTAGTGTGTGGTTAGCTTATTAAAAAGCTACGTTTCTTCAGGCTGAATTCTACACGGAAAACAAGGTTTAACCAACAGTTACATTGCTTAGTGCTGCTCTGCAAAGGTTTGATTTGGCCTTCCCTTACCCATGTGACAAATCAATGACCTAAGGGAGTCAAGTGATGGGATGGACACCCTAACGATCACACCACCTCCCTGTGTGGTGTAAAGCTGTGGTCATCCTATTTAGGCTGACCCAGTGCGAGTGTAGCTGCTGTATTTTTGTGTTGACTTTTGTGAGTCCTTTAGTAGCTGTCCCACAATACCCCTGTTCCTGCAAAAGTGGTTATTCTGGTCACAGTTTTGAACTCCATTGCCCAGGAGTCATAGAAACCCAAAACCTGCTGCCCCCTCCCCCCCCCCAGGCCCTTTAGGTTTTTGAAATGCTGTTTCCTGATGGCCTGCCTTGGTGAGCACACCTACCAGCTCACCCTTGTGGGTGTCCAACCATGCAGAGCTCCTTAGCTGCTAAAGCAAGCAAAACATCATCAAACCCCTTGGACTGGGGAGAAGCTGCTGCGTAAGCACAACTACTGAACAGCCACAGAAGTATTGATCTCTGTGCGCCAATCATGCAGGGGGATGCTGAAACAGGGACGAGCAGCAGGGTTCCGTGAAAGCAAAGAAACTTCGTCATGGTTTCCAGAAGGCCAGAGAGGGCAGCAACAAATCTGGTGCTGTCCTGCAGGCCAGTTGCTTCTACGTTGACCTGCATGCCATACTTCACCCTGCAGACCACTATGGTCACTTTGCAGGAGCCCAAGGTGGAGACTCCTGTCAGCAGGAGGTGGATGGATGGGGACATAAAGATGTGACGGTGGACTCAAAGCATGCTGCAAGCCAGGAATTGTCTGAAACTTGGCCAGAGTCAAACCAGCCCCTCTATACACGCATGGATGAACCTGCTGGTGAAGGAGAGGGGAGTTTGGTAAGTGCCTGTGTGTATTTTTCCTTTTTGTTTTCACTTTTTTTGCTTTTCATTGCCCAAAACTTCACCTCCCTCCCTCTGTGCCCTTCTTCCCCATTTAGAAATGGCATCCATCCCATCTGCAATCTTAGAACAAAGGCACTCACTTTTGAAGGCTTTCTTCCCTAATGTAATGGGAATAGGGAATAAATTCAAAAATACTGTTATCACAGTTGGATTATGCAGTCCCCTTCAGATCAGTGTCCTGTGCTCGGGTAGAGGTAGAACAAACAGAGGTAGTTGGTATCTGCTTTTCAATTCTTTGGCTTGTTGAGCTAGGCAGGGAGCCCAGACAGAGTACTTTATCTGTATAGGGTTGTCTGTTTTATTCTCTTGAGATCTCAATGAAACTTACATGGAGATACTTTACTGTCCTTTCCCAAAGATTTCTAGGGATGGCAGCCTTGTTTCTTCTACTAAGATAAGAGACTTTCCATGCCACTCTGTGATGAGTTCTGCAATGGTGCCAGGCGAAAACAGGCTTGGAGCCCACAGGCAGCTTTGGGATGCTGCTAGCAGGTGGGTTCTCTCCCTTTGTGCCTCATGAGTTAATTCCATAGGCTGCAGCAATCTGGGTGGATAAGTATTGCCAGCACACTCAGCACTTTCCTTGTACCTATACCAGATAGGGGAGCCCAACAGTCCTCTTCTCCGCTCTTCCCTCCCCACCCCCCCCACTAGGCCATACTGACTATGGTTTGAGCTGCAGAATGGTGCTGTAGTGATAAGCTCCAAAGATGAAGTGACAATTAGTGTTTCTAAAGGTATTTATGGGAGTAAGGGAAAGGAGTTCTGACACTTTTCCCTTTTTCTGTGGTGGTTGCAAATCTAATGGTGCATTTTTCTGTTTTCAGCAGCAGCATGAGGCGTGGTGGCCTCGAGGGGTGCCCCTCTGCACCTGCTGAACGTCTGACCCTCAACAGGAGGAGCAAGAAGAGGATTAGGAGGATCTGTTCTGTGAGATCCTCCAATCCTCTATGGCCTCAGACAGTGAATGCAGGGCTTGGAGAGGCCCCATGACCATGGAAAAGGTCTGGGAATGGAGAGAGTGATTACTGCAGGAGAAGCAAAAGGACCAAGAGGCACATTGGAAAATGCACCAGGCTATAATGGGATTACTCAGGCAACAAACTCAATGTTCCATTACTCGCCTTCGTGCCCAAAAACCCTGAACTCAGCAGTCTTTCCAGTCCTCTGAGAACTCCATGGTCACTGCTCCCTATACCCCTAACACACCAGGTGGCAGCATGGTGTACCTCCTTACCCCTAGCACACCACAGCACAAGGGACAACAAAGAGCGCAGTAGCTACACATACACGGA